CAGCCCTGAGTGCTCACTGGAAGAGACTCCAGTACTTTGGCCACCTCATGAGAAGAGAAGACTCCCTGGAAAAGACCCTGATGTTGGGAAAGATGGAGGGTACAAGGAGAAGGGGACGACAGAGGACGAGATGGTTGGACATTGTTCTCGAAGCTACCAGCATGAGTTTGACCAAACTGCGGGAGGCAGTGGAAGACAGGAGTGCCTGGCGTACTCTGCTCCATGGGGTCACTAAAAGTTAGACATGACTAAATGACCAAACAACAACAACAAGAATGTACTATTACTTGATCAAGGACCTCTGGTAACACATGGTGGCAGTGTTGTAGATTCCACATACTCACAATGAAAGAATGAGTGAAAGAACCAAGAGATACTTCAGTCTACTAAGAACAGCCCTATGCTGGGGGCCACTAGGGGGCGCATTGGAAGATGGCAGACAATACCATCTCTCCGACCCACACGGGGTAATTAAGAGGCTGTTATGGGAGTAGGCAGCCTCCTTTGTTGCCCCAAGGAAATGGGGAACTCTGCCCTTGCCTGCTGTGCCCATAAATCACCCCCTAATTCGAAAGAAGGGGTGAGGGCCCTAGGCAGAATGCCCCTGTGTGGACCTCGGCTCTCCTGGACACTGTCTCTGATCGCGCACTAGTTGCAGCAATTTGGAATAATTAATTACAAAAGAAGCAAATGCACATATTTCAAGTGAAGAAGGGGAGTGAAGTCTGCTAATTTAAGTGACCTCTGTGAAAGAAGACGACGGGCTGGAGAAACAGGAATATTTTACGATGAAGATACACCAAAGGCGGGGTATGTTGACAACGGGGCTGAATGGGGGGGGAAACCTTTTTTACTTTCCTTCTATGTGATTTACAAGAACCCCTCCTCATTAGAACCGTCAGTTGAACTGACCCAAGCAGGATGATTAAGGTCTGTGTGGAGATAAACTTTAACCAAAAATATGCTTTATGGAGACCGAGAAGCAATAAGAGCTTTTGGGAATGGCGCAGCAATTAATTCGGAGTCGCCATCTTGCCAGAGGATTTATAGCCGGGAGGAAGAACAGATTTGTTTTCAGACTGCATTCCTAGTGAATCTCCTCAGAGGTTTTGAGAAAGGAGGCAGATTGGTGAAGATTAATGACGCTAAGACTGTTTTGATGTATGGAAGTGATGTTATATGGAAAATGTCTGGATAAGGCTACTGGATAAAAAAAATAATATCCACGCAGGATTACAAACTGTTCTAACCAGCTTGCGGAGACAATCAGAGGTCACAAAGAGAAAGGAAAAATATATGAAAATAACAACAAGAGATGTCGAAAAATAATAAGAAAGGACTGGATAGTACTGTGAACATCATAAGGTTAGATTTGTGGACATTAAAACAGCAGTAAGAAGCAAGAAGTTGATTGGATCCCTTCGGAACTTGAAATATGGGTATCCCCAACAAAAATTTAAAATTCAGCTGTGTAATTTGGAATTTATGTAATTTGGTTTGATTTGATGTGATTGGTCGGTTAATAAAAAAATATTCTAAAAAAAAAAAAAAAGAACAGCCCTATGCTTTAGGCAGGGAGACAATGGCAGCCCAGTCTGCTCAGTTACCGGTATTTGTATTTACAACCCCCAGTGACTAGCCCAAATGGAGGTACAGATTTGAGGGGTTCTGAATAGCTTTAGATATGATGATGATGATATATTTATTTATACCCCACCTTTTTCCCTGACAGGAATCAAGGCGGCATACAGATGAAAAAAGAATTGCTATAAACATGGGGGGGGCCGCAATTAAACATTAATGTAATTAAAACTACATACACATATAAAATCTGTTTAAAACATACAAATACGGTAATTCCAATAAAAACAGCATGGCAACAGCCCTTGTATTATAAGCCTGTTGGAATAAGAAGGCTGTCAGCTGCAGGTGGAAGGACAACAAGGAAGGCGCTAGACTAGCTTCTCCAGGGAGGGTGTTGGCAGAAGCCACCAAATAGGGAGACAGTCTGGCAGAAGCCACCAAGTAGGCCCTCTCCCATGTCCCCACCAAGCATGCTTGTAAGGGTGGGCAGGACTGAAAGAAGGGCCTCCACTGAAAACTTCAAAACCCGGCCAGGTTCATATGAGGGAATGCCATATTTCAGGTAGCTTTGACCTAAGGGAGTTGTATGATACCTAGAACCCGGTCAGCAATGTGGCTACAGCTCTTTGAGCCAGTTGAAGTTTCTGAGCACTTTTCAAAGACAGGCCCCACACAGAGCGCACTAAAGTAATTCCAACAGGGTGTTGTGTGTCACTGTGGCCAAATCAGATATCAGAAGGGATGGACAGCTAGCACATTAGCTTTAACTGTGCAAATGCTCTCCTGGCCACCACAGAAACCTGAGCATCCATGCTCAATACTGAGTCCAGCAGCATGCCCTAACTATGAACCTGTGTCTTCAGGAGTAGTTAAACAGCAAACCAGAAGAGGAGCAGATTAACACAATGATTTATCTAATGGAGAGTGAGTCAGATGATATCCTGATATCATTCCAGCTCAGTGAGGAAGAATTAAAGAAATATTATATAGGGAATAATAGTATTGAAGAAGATTTCACTCTGACATATAAAGTGATTTACGAAGGGGAAACTCACACTTGCAAAAAGAAAATGAACTCATGGATTATTTTATTACCTCTATAGTATGCAGTTGAGCTTTCATGACAAGATGTTTAGGGACAGAACGTTTGTGGGGGCCAGAGATGTCTGAACAACTACAGTTGGGTGGGAAACTCACCCAGGAAAAAGAAGTCTCCCAGGGATGGAAGGATCTGCCAATTTCAGTTCATCATAGAATCATAGAGGTGGAAGGGACCCAAAGATCATCTAGTCCAACCCCTTGCAACACAGGAATCTCAGCTAAAGCATCCATGACAGAGATGGCCATCCAACCTCTGCTTAAAAGCCTCCAAGGAAGGAGAGTCCATCACCTCTTGTGGGTGTCTGTTCCACTGTCAAACAGCTCTTACTGTCAGAATGTTTTTCCAAATGTTTAATCAGAATCTCCTTTCTTATAACTTGAAGCCATTGCCTCGAGTCCTACCCTCAAGAGCAGGAGAAAACAAACATCAGTTGCTCATTTCCCCAATCTTAAATTCCATTCTCCATATTTCTGGAGAAAATTGTTGCTGCTGTTTACTTTAAATCTTCATAAAAATTCTGCAGCATTTAATGCAATTTTCTTCCAATAAACACATTTTTGTATGCAGACCAGTGGTTTACTGAGGACCCCCGATTTCTCAAAAGCCAAGCCATGGACCCCCTACTTTTGAAAATTTTGATAACTCTATGCTAGTTACCTCTGCAAAGCAATTTTTTTGAATAAAATGTGGTGTGGCTCCTAATAAACAAAGGATTTTAGGGATACTAAAAAACAGAGTAGGGCTGAGTGACATCTGGTTTTCAACATTGTGATACATCAGCAGCTAAACATTGTGATATTCTGATATATCACGATGTCTGAAATTAGGGCTCAGATGTGGGGATGAGGGAAGGAGCAGTCACAGAAATCAGATGGGTGGGGGGAGGAGAGAAAGCAGAGTCACCTCCACCACATGGTTTGAGTGGAAGGGGTTGGGGGGTGCATCAGTGGGGCAGCCAGAAAGGCGCACATCCACTGTGGCTGCTTTCCTTCTGAGAAAAGCTGTTCTGCCTCAGTGCCTGGGGAAGGTAACGCCACGGGCCTTGAAGTGAGGGCGATCAGCTGTCTTGTTCTCCATCAGCGTGAGGGGAAGGCAGCACCTCACAATCGGACTGCCCTGTTTTCCCTCAGCGTGAGGAAAAACTGCAGCGTTATTGGCTGCCCTGGTCTCACTCAGCATGAGGGAAGGCAGCTCAGATTATCAGATGAGATTATCATGCAATATTGGCAGTGCCTTGAAATCGGCTGCCCTGTTCTCCCTTGCCGAGAAGTGATATATTGCTGCATACTGCCAGGTCAAAATCACTATCGTGGTGTGATTGCAAAACCAATTTTGACCAATATATTGAAAAATCACACAGCACTAAAACAGGCCATGAAATTTGTGATAAAGGTAAAGGTAAAGGGCCCCCTGACCGTTAGGTCCAGTCGTGGCCGACTCTGGGGTTGCGGCGCTCATCTTGCTTTATTGGCCGAGGGAGCCGGCGTACAGCTTCCGGGTCATATGGCCAGCATGACTAAGCCGCTTCTGGCAAACCAGAGCAGCACACGGAAAAGCCGTTTACCTTCCCGCCGGAGCGGTACCAATTTATCTACTCGTACTTTGACATGCTTTCGAACTGCTAGGTTGGCAGGAGCAGGGACCGAGCAATGGGAGCTCACCCCGTCGCGGGGATTCAAACCACCGACCTTCTGATCAGCAAGCCCTAGGCTCTGAGGTTTAACCCACAGCACCACCTGCATCCCTCCAAAATTTGTGATATTACCATGCAAAAATGACAACAAAATAATTTGGAGGGGGAAGGGATGGGGCCACAGACTCCCTAGGTGTGTTCTGCCTATCCCCAGGGATCCCTGGACCCCTAATTGGAAACCACTGATATAGACTAATGAACCCATTTTTGCAGGTTATTTTCACTAATATATTCATATTTTTATTTTATTTTATTTTGAAAATGAGAATTTATTTGCTTTGGATATCCAGCAGCAGCAGCTCTTAATGGTTGGACTTGGCCACATGCTCCAACTCGTCCTTCTTCTTGGTGGAGCAACCCTTAGCTGCATTGATCAGCTGATCTGCTAGGCACTCAGCTATGGTCTTTATGTTGCAGAAGGCAACTTCACGAGCTTCATAAGCCCCAGTGCAGAGCAACCAGATAGCCTGATTGACACAATGCAAAGGTGACACATCAATAGCTTGTCTCCTCACTGTGCCAGCTCAACCAATACGGGTAGAGTCTTCATGAGAGCCACTGTTGATGATGGCATTCACCAGGACTTGAAGGGGGTTCTCTCCTGTGAGCAGATGGATGATCTCAAAGGCAAGTTTGATGATGCAGAGTCATGAGCTTCCTGCCATTCTTGCGTCCGTGCATTATCATTGAGTTAGTGAGGCGCTCAACAATAGGACACTGGGCTTTGCAGAAGCGCTTGGCAGCATAGCGCCCAGCATTGTGTGGCAAATACTTGACATATTTCTCCTTCACTCCAATGTAATCCTGCAAGGAGATGTCACTGATCTGCACATCATCTGTGCCCCATTTCCCAAACAACTTGACATCAGGGGTCTCTGCCACAGCAGGGACTGTCTCCCAGTCAGTCATTATGGAGGCACTTCATTCTCCTCCCCGTGTCCCGCTTGCTCGCAGAGGCAGAAAAGTTAATATATTCATTTTTATGCACACTTTCCCCATATATTTATAAACTTGGTTTGGTTGGAGAACTGCACTGAAAATTTCAGGTAAGTGAAAATTTCAACAGATTGCTATGTTCCAGTTTTCAGGTTGTTTCTGAAAGTGCAGATTTGATAGATTCAGCTTTAAATAAGAACTGAATCAAATCTCTCTCCCTTCCCTAGTCACTACTGTGAGGCACCATGAGAGTTAGGAAGCAACAATTAGACCTCCATGGCAGCAATGGCAGCAGGTAGATAGTGTTCATACACTGAAGGAAAAGCCACAACAAAGAGTTTCAGAGGTATTAATAGCAGCATGTGTGGTGGGGAAGACCCACCCTCTCAACACCAGTGTCGCTGCTGCTTATCAGGCTGGGGTGGGACAAGGCAGTAGCAAGGCTGGGGCTGTATTAGGAGTGCTGGATTGGTTCCACCAGTGCCCTTAACCTCACCACCAACCTGCCCTGCCCCAGCTCTGTGCAGGTAAGCAGCAGTGATGCCAGTGTCAGAAGGGCAGCTCCATGGCCCACCACATATGCTGCTAATGGGAGGTACGGCGAATTTTAGCAGGCATACCAAAAAACAGGGAGGGAAAATTACAGTGGTGAAACAGAAAAACCCAGAATGGAAAATTGTCCACCAGAAGGTTCTGTTTGCTACAACTGCATGTAAATGAGACATTTTACAAGAGCATGCTTTGCAGGTGTAACAGTACAACAAATAACTACTTTCTGGAATAATTGGCAGACAATCCACTAGTTAAAATGAGAGTGTGGCAGCACAAACAAATGTGGATGGGTACCCAGTTGAATGTAAGCTAGACGCTGGAGTTGATGTCACAGTTATCTCACTGACTATTTAGACTACATTCAAGATAGAGCCTTCTAGAGTCAGATAAAAACCTAAAGCAACAATGAGAGAAACACTCTGCAACAGTGGAAAGGTTCAAAGCAACTATGCATTGTAATGGTGAAGAAAGAAAAGTTATTTATGTGAGATCAATGCCTGTTAAGACTCAGAGCATGTGAGGGCCTGGTGTTGCTTAAATGGCTGGGATAAATGGCATTAAACATTGCCAGCAGTCAACCCACACACAGACTATCCCACACTCTTCCAGGGTCTGGGCTGGATAGGAACTTCAAATAAAATTAAGCTGAAACCAAATTCCATTTTTTTCCATATTTGTTTCCAGACAAGTGCCAATTTCACTCTTTAAAAAGGTGGAAGAAGTGGAAATGCAGGTCACTGAACCTGTTGGTGATCCCACAGATTGGTGCGGTCCAATGGTTATTACTGGTAAGAGGTGGGAAAGTATGGATCTGTGTTGATTATTCCCAATTGAAATATAGAAGAGAACCGTATCCCATGCCAGTTGAGAAGGCAAGTCCAAATTCTTTTCTAAATTAGATGCCAACAGTGGATTCTGACCAATTTCATTGACAGAAAGCTCAACAAAACTAACAAAATTCATTACTGTTTTGTTTTTATTATTTATTTTGTGTTTTATCTTGTATTTTTATGCTGTGAACTGCCCTGAGGTCTATGGCTGAAGAGCAGTATACAAGTTGAATAAATAAATAAAATAAAAATATTCCCTTTGGGTGTTTCCAGTTCAAAATACTACCCTTCAGAATCACTTCAATTCCAAGCACTTCCAGAAAAGAAAAGAAAAGAAAAGAAAAGAAAAGAAAAGAAAAGAAAAGAAAAGAAAAGAAAAGAATTTGGGGCTGTTGAGGGGGTCCTGAGTGATATGGACAATGTTATAATCATGGTGCAAAATATGGAATTACTTTATACACGACTGTGACAGACCTTACAACAGTTTCTTGAGGCAAAAGTCACACACAACCAGAAGAAATGTGAGTTTACAATCTGTAACTTCCAAAGAACCTAAGGATTTATTGGAACCCAGATTTTTAAAAACCACTGAAGAGCTTCAAAATGCAAACTAAAATAGGACAACCCCTCAGCCATATTTTAACCTAGCACCGTTCTGTTTTAATTTGCATCAGAGTCTCTTGGGTTGACATGCCAATTTCCATATTTATGAAAATAACTAAATATGCTCATATTCTCCAAATACAGAATGTGCAATCAAATTATCATGAGTCTGGTGCAATGCTCTTGGTGAGAAGAGTTCCATCCAGAAATATGGTTCACTCATGGATCAAACATCACAAGTAGAACTTTTGTTTCAACACCCATCCCCTCCAACATAAGGCTCTTCCATAGAGTTGGCAGAGGTGGATTTAGGGCAGTGTGACCAGTTCCCTTGCACAGGGTTCAGGGTCCAAGGGGTGTTTTCCCACCTCTTTCCCAAAGCCAAGTTAGCACTTGCTCAGCTTTGAAAAGGAGATGGAAGGGCTCTAGGATGATGCCAGAGCCTCATGCCTTCTTCCCAAAGTCCAGAGCCTTGCTTAGTTGGCTTTGAAAAGGCAGCGCAATAGCTGGGCAGTGGTGCCAAATTTTGACCTTGCACAGAATTCTATATTATCAAGCTCCACCCCTGGAATTGGCTCTCACATTCAGCTGTAAATCACTATATTGAATAATCAACTTATGAGAAATCAAATGAAGTGTCTGCATATGGAGACCTGCCAGTATTACAATATGGAACTTTTCTCAGATTAGTCCAACATATTCTCTTCACCACACCTAAGGACAACAACAGAGTTTAAGAGAATGTAGGGCAGGACAGGTGGGACTCACAAAGCGGTCCCTAAACAATACCCTTCAGCATCTGCTGCCTGAGACAGCTGTCTCACTCTACGAATGGTAGGGGCAACCCTAGGGTTCAGATAAAGCATTTCCACTTCTACCAGCCAATCAAAGCATGATTTTATTTATTTAGAAAAATTTTATTTGTAAAACCTGTGTTTCAGAACACAGTGCCCGCACAAGACAGGCTCTAAAAGACATGAAAATACAATTAAAAACAAAGTGAGCAAGCAATGCAGCAAGTACATCACAATTCAGCCAAATGCAATACTTGCAAATACAGTATGTGTCTCTACAGTTCTTTTTTAATGGGGAGTGAAAATCAGCATCAGAATTAAAGCAGGGAGTGAAGAAGAAAGTGGAGAGTGAAGATCAGCTTCAGAATGAAAAGGGAAAGTGAAGATCAGCATTGGGATGAGAGGAGGAGGTGGTGGAGGATGAGGATGAGGAGACAACAGCAGAGGCAGCAACAGGTGGATCTGCTGCACCTCCCAGGGGGTCCAGATCCACTGCCCAAGGCGTCTACCTCACCCTACTTCATGGGCCAGCTGGCCCTGGCTGGTATTATCCAGTTTGTTGTATGCAGGAAGTGGGACTCATAACAGTAGTAGTTTCTACTGAATATTCATAATTTGAAAATGTTTTTTTTTTTTTTGAGAAGTGTGATGTAATTATTCTCCTCTGTCAAACCTTGAGAGGTATGCAAGGGAGGGTTCATCATATTGCCCTGGAGGAAAAAATGACCCTAGCTCATTTCCAATTATGAGTTAATTCACTGAGTATGTGCAAACAGATTATTTCCCTAGGACCCAGCAATGAAGAAAAGGAACCAACAAAAAGTTAGCCTGGTGAGGGGGAAAAACTTCACTGAACCCATGAGCTTCATTTAGGGAAACAGGAGCCTCTACCATGTAGAGGAGAAGCTCTCCTTGCTCAGCAAGTAGAAGATGAGACATACCGCACAATTATAGCCGAGCAATTCACCCACTAGAACTGGTGAGATGATTACTCTATTTTTCACAGCATGCCTCATGGGTAATGACAAGCAGTGCATGCAACTTTACGCGTGAGTGTCTTGTGTCTGTTTATTCCCAGCAATGCCAGCAGGAAAAACTGTATCTTACGACACTCTGAACCATAGGTCCTTGATGCTTCAATAAGCAGCTCTCACAATGTGCTTTAAGTCAATTTTTCTCCCCTTGGAACTATATATTTGTAACAAGATTCCACATGGCACCCATTTCACAGAGAAATCACAAAGCACTTTGCTCTTTTTTTAAAAAAAAAAGGAGGGAGGGAAGGAAGAAAGGAAGGGGGAGAAAGAGAGAAAGAGAGAAAGAGAGAAAGAGAGAAAGAGAGAGAGAAAGAGAGAGAGAAAGAAAGAAAGAAAGAAAGAAAGAAAGAAAGAAAGAAAGACAATGAACTAGCTGTCTTGCTTTCATTTACATTTTTCAAGTTGCTTTCTCAGTTCTCAAAGTCTTTAACCTCTCAAGTGTTCCTGGACAGCCACTAGACATCCACCACTTGGACTGACTTTTGATAGGTGCCATGGCAGTTGCAAAGAACGGAGCTGCAGCTATTTACTTAAGAGGGTGGCGGCCATAGAGCTTAGGAATGTTTTCTGTAGCCTCACAAAAGGATAAGTTTTACTACACAATATAGCCACTTTCTAACAGATGAAAGAAATGGATTCAGTGTTGGGCACACAGCAAGCCAGGGAGACCTCAGTGGATAATGATACATAGTTAAGAGATGAACTCCAGAGCGCACAGCACATTTACTGCCAATGAAATGCAGTTGTAATTATCTTCTCATCCACCTTCCCACACTCCCCATTTTAAGAATCCAAGTCCTAATAGCCAATATGTTACACAAGTCTATGTGCCGTGAGAGAGGGGAATGACAAATTAGTTCTCATGAAAGCTTCTAAAAGTTCTGATCCTCTAATAAGGGTTGTATCAGCGTGTTAGGAGAGATGGTATACATATTGCTATTGTACAGCAGTCTGCATCAGCTCAGACCTTGGAGGCCTCAGATCCACGTGAGAGATGACAGCAGACATGTAGGTCTGTGGTCGGGAACCTGAGGACTGTGGGCTGAATGTGGCCTCCAGGCCTCTCTATCTGGCCCTTGGGAGTCTCTCTCACTGGATCTGCTTTGCACACTGAGTGCTTTTGGCAAGCTGGAATGTATCACTGAACAGTGATAATT